AAAAAAAAAAATTTATTTTACCATAACTTTTAGCTCAATTGGTAAGTTTGACATTGACATAATTAAATAGAAAATTTTATGACAATTAAAAAAATTGTATCGTTAAGATCAATATGCAGTCAGAAAGTTTTATAATTACTATTTATTGTAAATTTATCAGAAAAGCTCAATATTTTTTTGCATTTTTATGGTAATAGATAACTTAAATAGAAGTAATAGTAATAATTTCCTAGGAATAACTTTTGTCGTTTGAAAAGATTCTACAATTTAAATATTGAGAACTTAATTAATTTTAATGATTTACTTTAACTAAATGAACCAATCAAAACAAAGTTGTTAAAAAGATTTACTCAATTGAGTGTATTATAAAATTTGATTATATTTGTAAAAATCAATTGTTAATTCAGGAGAAAAAACAATCNGATTATATTTGTAAAAATCAATTGCTAATTCAGGAGAAAAAACAATTATTTTTTTTAGAAATGATTTATATAGCAACATTTACAAAAAAATTTGTAATATTATAGTCTAATAGTAGCACACACAAATAGAGTAAAAAAAATATTAAATTACAAAGTAAAATGATTAAATTTTGTAGTTGAAACCTATCATTTCAAACTTAATTCGTCAATAAATACTTTGAAAACATTAAAAATGAATGATTTTAATTGTCTTTATGGAGAACATGGAATAACTAACTGTTTAATTGATAAATTAAAATTTTTTTTCAATTTTTGAGGGTAATATCTTCAACTAGATACGAATTGTAGTAATTTGACGTATCNAAAATTTTTTTTCAATTTTTGAGAGTAATATCTTCAACTAGATACGAATTGTAGTCATTTGACGTATCGTTGAAAAAAGTAGGTCAAGTTAGAGCAGAGAAAATAAATGATATTCACAAAAAAACATCTTCTCGGCTTTGCATCGAAGCTAAAACTTAAAATATAGTAAAATAATTTTAATACGAATAAGAAATTTCTTCTTGCAAGGGGCGACTAATGTGATGGGATCCTTGATCTTTATTGAATTTATTGAATCTAAATGAGATAAAAAACAAACGAGTTAAAAATTTATACTAACTTAAAAAGAATTAAGAAAAAATGCAAAAAATTCATTGCTATACGCGGGTTAGAACCTCGTACTCCAAGCGTGTAAAACGTAAGTTTTACCAACTCGGCAACTGTACGTTGCTACCGCCTGTTGAAAAAATTAGCTATTTAAGCTAGTTCAAATTTCAAAGTTATTTTTCTCGACTTAAAAGAAGCAAACAAATTTAAATAAGTTTAACTTTCTATGCTATATTAATTTTAATTTATATAATATTTATGAAAATCTGTATTCCCCTTGTCAGGTATTTTAAAATAAAATAAAATACAAAACCCAGAATTTTAACACAAAAATAGCAAATTTTTGAATACGGTAGTCATTTTTACCATGAAGACAAATCTAGAGGTCAAATTTTTTTTTTTTCAAAATAAAGTATATTACATAAGCTTTAATTTAAGATATACAGGGTGGCCCACCACTCACTGACAACTTAAATAACTTTTGATCCAGTTAATATTTTTAGCTGATTTTTTTTTTAAATAATAGTTATACGTTAGGTCTATAGCTATATCTCAATAATTAATTTTTTTACATTTTATTAAAAATATTAATTATTTTTAAATTTTAAATAAAATGTAAAAAAAAAATCTAAGATAGCTATTTTGTAGAGTAGAATTTAAGAAAAATTTTAGTAAAAAAATATCTTATTAANATCTGAGACAATATTGTAGTTATTAACAGTTTAGTTTTTCAAAAAATGATCAATTCAAATCTCAAGTATCAAATCACCAATTTGTTGATACCAATTACTTATCAATTAAGAGTTTACTTACATTCATGATATACGGGTGCTATATATTAAACGATTCAACTATTTCAACGTAGAAAAATTATAACACGATTTTACGATTTATTTTGATATGAAAAATAATATACTTAATTTTTGTTATTATAATAATTAATTATGATACTGGTATAAACTTGAATTATTAAAAAGTTATTTATTATTTAGTATTTTTACATTAACATAGTTAAATTTCATAATAGAATTAATTTACGAACTATTTTGTAAATTTAATAAAAAATCCTCAAACTTACAGTCATCATAATTTAATGAACCACACATTTATTTGAAAATTTTTTTTCTGAGAAAATATATAATTTGTACAATTTAGAGCACAATAAATATATGTATTGATATAATACAGAAACATGATACATTTAAGATAGAAGCCACTCATTGGTGACATTTAAATTTGGTAATATAACATTTTGGCTATTCTACCAATAAGACACTGTCTTTTTAAACGTCGTCTAAGATTACCTGGTATAATGTTATTACACAGTTTTTGAGAAGAATATTTGATTGATTTTGTAATCCATCATGAAAAGTTTATAAAATTGAACAGTCTCCTCGTGTAACAGTCTACATATAGAAATCTATATGTAAATTATAGTTCGATATATAAGGGAGACGAGGAAATTTTTCTAAGAGCAATGTTCTGAAATTGTTTAATTTTGTTAGTAAAAGATTTCTTTACAGTACGTCTTAATTGGAGCCCATACGTGCATAATGGTTTTATTAGTGATTTATATAATAAGGTTTTAGTTTTCAGGTTAGTTGTTTATTTAGTAATAAATAATTTAAAAGAAGACTTGTACTACGAATATGGTAACCATTTTAATCCGTTTGTCGAGGGTTGAACCTAAATATTTCATTATATCAGAAGAGGGAATGAGAGTAATATTTAAAGTGACTCTAGGACAGATGAAGTGACGTTAAATAAAAGTTGTGTGTAACGATTTGTTTTCATTAGATTTTTAAGCCATTTATTATATCATTCGGTCATGTGGTTAAAGTAGCTTTGCAAGTTAGAAGAGGCAATATCTGAGTTTTCATATATTTAGTTAATAGTTTTATCATCAGCATAGTAAGCTATTTTTGTGTGTAGTGCAGTGAGTTGAACTGATGGAAAAATACTAAACGGCCTAGGAGATTAAATTTCTCCTTGGAGAACGTTCGCATTGATTTTTTCAATTTTGGAAGTTACTGAGCCAAATAATAATTGGAAATAGTGATCAGTTAAATAATATTTTAATAAATTACAAAATTACAAAGAAAGAATTTTATTTAGTTTGTATAGTATGTCTTTTGTACTCTATTAAAGACTTGACTTATGTTTAGAAATTCACTGGTATAGTATAATTATTGCCCAAAAAAAAGGAAATGGCTTTGATAACTCTATGAGTTTGATAGATGGTGTTGTGGGAGGAACGAAAACCAAATTGTGGATATTGTTCTTTACAATAGACGGGAATAAAGGTTTTAGTATAAGCCTCTCCAAAACTTTGGAGAAAAATAATAGTAATCTATAGGTCTGTATTGTTGCATCGCTATTTAGGGGTTGAGCCTAAATGCCCTTCAACAGTATTCTAAGGGACCAACGGGGGATAGCTGGGTAGGCTATATCTACTTTAGGTACTGAGGTTTCCTATTTAATTTATATTCCCTTAGAGGAACTACCAAGGGTTGCACTACAATATATATATACATAAAACACTCTTGGATAACAACGATATAAATATTTATTAAGTAAAAAAATATTAAATAAATAATACAACCTGCTGGACACCTAGAGATGATAATAATCCTACAGGGAGCTGACGGCGACACGCACACTATTTACGTGATAGGTAATTTAAGTAAAGTATAAGACAAGAGTAATGGTTGCCATTATGGTAAAAAGTCAACTGTCGTTAGGGATATATTATTATGGCACATTGGTCGTGAATTCCAAAAGTGTTTATGTGTGCAGTCTGCCCTCCTGTAGACATATGTGTGTCACTGTGTCAACAATATAAACTAAGTCGGCGTTACAATAATAATATGTGATATGATCACATATATGTGATCGTATCAGGTGCTCCCACTATATTTTAGGGCTGACCTCAGACCTTAACAAAATAAAATAATTTGGGATAATAAAAAAAAATTTAATCTGAAATAAAGTTATTTGGAAAGACATTAACATCTTAGTAAGAACCTCTGGATCGTCGATGTCCACACTCCTAAGTTCGTAAGCTTTTGAGCTTTGGAGGAGCTTCCATCACGTGGGCTCTCAATCGTCGGGTATCAAGCGGTTCCTATGAGAAGCCCGGCCCTGTCGTCGACTTCTAGAATAGTCTCGGGGCCTCAAATAAACATCCACTATGTTCTCAAGGTCTGTTCAGAATGTTAATGTTTATTATAAGACATAAAAGGGTTTAGAAGAGCACGAATACAGTTGTAAGCAATGCATGCGTTCAAAATGTTAGTTTTTTTTTTAAAGAAATAATATAATATTTAGTATTTTACAATTAAAAATAGTTAAGTTATCCTAATGTATGTAGCCAAAACGTTGTAAAAAACTTGCATACATTTACAATAGGTGCCTTAATTTAAGTTAAACATGCATGCTAGAAGAATTATTATATGTATACATTGAATTAAAGTAAAAACACACAGTGACCATCTCATAAAATTCAGTGTCCAGTAATTTATAATGAAAAACATACATTTAGGGCATCTTTAGTTGGCTGTCTTGCGCCTATTGCGGGACGTTTCAAATTATTTATGGTTTATCTTAATCTAACAGTAGCCGTAATAACAGTTGTTTTTATTGATCTTGCTCTATTGCTGCAACAACTCAAGTTTACCATTAATTAATAAATTGGTGATAAAATGTGCTTGTAGAATTGAATATTTAAGGACTTGCATAATATAATAATAATATATAATAAATAAACAGACAATGCTGTAATGTGGCTGGGGCCCTAAAATAATAATATAGCAATACTATATGTATCAATAGTAATAGTAATTATGACTTAATTTTCTAGCTAGAAATTACTACTCACCCAATGGTCGACAATAAAGAGCGGATAGAACATAAATATGTACGAATCGTGATAATTTGATGTCTCGGTGATCAAGTCGCTATATACGAAATTAAACGAAGATGTTAAAGTCGTGGTTCAGATGTTCTATAAAAAAGGGACTGTGGCTCAAAATATAATAACAAAAGTCGTGGTAACAGTCGTGATATTGACGGTGGCTGTGACATGGCGGTGGCAACGACTGGCTATGAAAAATGGCGAGATAGCAAAAATGGAAACCAGGCATTTTATAGTGCAACTATTTTCTATAGTGCAACTTTTGCACTATAGAGGTTAATCATTGACCTAGTTATTCGACTACTTGATTATCTGACGTAAAGATAAACAAGGGAAATCAAGTTTGGAAATAGTGAAGTAAATAGTTACACACGAGTAAGTATGTAATAATTAATTTTACTCAAAATATATTGATATTTATAAAATTATATTTTACAGGGGAAATGATTGGAATACAGCCCGTAATTCAAAATACAGAGGTACTGTGACAGCGGAGAAGTCTTCGATAGAAATATTGATTAAAATGACCCGTCGAATGAACTCCGACAGAGGAGTAATTTTAAAATCGAAGAGTGTCTAGATATTTTTAATGTAACTCTTAGGAATTAATCGGATTTATTGAATATTCTATACAGTCGCCACTGTGGTGAAGNATTGCAATAACAATTTTTTTTAAAGAGTCTGATAATTATCAATAGTAGGTAAGTATATTAAATATAATTAGTGTACTTTAATATAGCATGTACCCTTAANTATTGTCAATTGCAATAACAAATCTTTTTAAAGAGTCTGATAATTATCAATAGTAGGTAAGTATATTAAATATAATTAGTGTACTTTAATATAGCATGTACCCTTAATCCTTCTTGGATTAAATAAATTCGAACACTTTAGCACCAAATTAAACAATAATTACATTTTTAAGAATTTTTAAGAGTTGAAACAGTACAATATAATGATATTCCTTACGTATTAAGAAGCNTACAAATAATGATATTCCTTACGTATTAAGAAGCAAAGAGAACCGTTGTCGCAATAAAACCGATTTTCGGGGCCGTTGTCATGCTGTCCCTGCCTATAATTTAAAAAAAAAAAGTAATAATATCAACAATGATTGTTATGCACCTTATAATTCTTATGTTTTCTGAACCTTTTTTTCTTTAAAATAACATAAGGGCTATCATAGCTATCTAAAAAGTTAGTACCCTTTACGGACTTTTGACTAATACTTTGTTTCCCGCTTTAAACAATTGAAAATCATTCGAAGATAAAAGATTTTGTTTAGTCTGTTCGGATTGTTTCTCTAATATTTAGGGTAATGTTTTTCTAATATGTTTGATTTTATTAATTTCATTGATCACGATCCCATCGGAAGGTTTAATTAGAGCGATATCAAACATGCTTTTAGGATTATAGCTGTGAAGTAAATAAAACGGTATATAAATTGTAACCGAATGTGTATAAAAGTATTATAAGCATTTACAACGTACGGTAAATAGTCTGCCCACTTATTATTATCNAACGTACGGTAAATAGTCTGCTCACTTATTATTATCCTAAACGTAATGCGAAATCATGTCTATTATCGTTTGATTTTGTCTCTCTACTTGACCTTGGGAAAAGGTGTCAGATTTTTTAAATATTCCAAGTAAATAAAAGATAGTTATTTCAATATTAGATAATTAAGTACCACTTAGTATTTATATATAAAAAAAATTGGACTTGTTAACTTTTCAAAATTAAATTTTAAGTAGAACATTTTTAAAAAAAATGTCAAATTTTCACCAATTTTAAAAATTATTAGTTATAATTATAGTTTTTCGGTTATTTCCTCAATTCACATGAAAGAGGGAATTTTTTTAATTTTAAGAGTAATATTTTCAATTCAATGAAATAAAAAATAAATAGAATTTGTAAAGTATATTTAAAATACTCACCGAGATACTTTTTGTTCTTTTTTTTTGAGAACTGATTTTAATTGTTCTTTATTGAACATGACAATAATAGCTAGTATATATTAGTTGAATAAAATATTCAAATAGATTTATTTGAATACAATAAAATTTTCCTGATTTTTTGATGACTTAAACTTATTAGTCCAAACCATTTTATACATCTTAGTAGATAATTAATTACCATTGGATAGTTTCCCATAATTTAATTGTAAAGAATATTTCTTATATAATTCATGGTGAAATCCCATTTTATTAGATTATTTCTATAAAACAATAAAAAAATGATGACGAAAGTGTTAAATAAACAAAAGTATTATTAAAAAAGTATTATTACTTTATTATTATTGCTATAATTAAATGTATAAATGCTCATACCTATATAATTTCTTCATGTTTAAAAGATCTCTATTAAAATTATAAATTTGAATTCTTAGCATAATTAAGTCTTAACATAAATTTAGATTGTAATGATTTCTTTATATTTTCAAGATACTGGAAAAATATTTTATTTATTAAATACAAGTTCAAATTCAATAAAAACCAATACAGTGGAGACGCGCATAGTTGGTAAAAATAAAGATGATGTTATATATATACATATTATAATATTAATTAGCATAATCCCTTACTAAAATCATTGATGAGAATCTGTTAAAATTGTGCATTTTAAAATCAAAAGATATTCTTATAAATCAACCTATTTGATCAAAGGGAGAGATAAAAAATATCATAACTAAAGGTAATTATATGGAAAACATCGAAGCAATTCTCAAACCACAACAGTAACAAAAAATATCATCATACCAGAACAAGGAGGTCGCGGCACAGTAGTGACGTGGTATAGTTGGATCAAGTATAATGATATCTGACAGTGATTAAAATCACTCTCAAAAAAACGCTTCGATGCAAATCTATAGATAGTGTTTAATTTAAAAAAATTGGTGGATTATTCCAAAAGCTACATGATCTGCTATTTCTTTATTTATAACCTGAATAAGATTAAGTATGACGAATGAGAAAAGGATGTAAATATTATTTCTCATAAAAAAATTATGTTGATCCATACACTTTTAAATAAGTTATAGCATTATAATGTTAAAAATGTAAAAAATAAAATCGAGAATTTTCACACAAAAATAGCATTCGGTAGCCATTTTCACCGTGAAGACAAAATAAAGTCCGGAATTTTTTTTTTCATGATAAAGTATATTACATTAGCTTTAATTTAAGATATATATAAAAGGGTCAGACCTTCCGGAACATTTTCAAAAATTAAGTTGAAAAAATTAATTTTTGTGAAAAAGTTGTCATTTTAAATCCCCTCCTGTGGGCAAGTAAAGGGTCACATATAAAAAAAAATATACCAAATGAAAGGTATTTTTTAGAGATTTCTCCCATTTACGGGGAACGAGGGATTTTTTTTCAATTTTCGAGGGTAATGTCTTAGATTAGATACGATTCGTGATCTTTTGACGTATCGTTGAAAGAAATCAGTTCGGTGAAAGCTGAGAAAAAGTGGTAATAGACACACAAAAAAAAAAAAACATATAGTAAAACCAATACCGCTCAGCTTCGCATCGAAGCTTAAAGGCCTCATGCTTTATGAAAATGTACAATGGCCCTTGCAAAATGTTTCTCTAAATACTTATTAATACTATTAATATATATGGTAATTAACGACTATGCTAAAACTAGATCAACTGTTAATAAATACCATTTTAAGAGTTAAACTTACCAATTTATATACATCTTATATCTTTCGTATTTGTTTTCCAAATCACTAATTATTTTACTTTGAATATTTAACTTTTCTTGCAAATCTTTAATATTAGCCATATCATTATTTACTAAAAGTTTCTTATTTTTTTTGAAGTCTAAAATAAAATTTAATACACTTTAATTTATTAAAAAAAACCAAATACAAAACTAAAAAAAAAAAAAAAAAAATTAAAAGTAATATTTAAATATTATGATTAATGATTGAATAACTAGTGATACTAACCATCAAATTCTTGAGCCTTCTTAATTAGTTTTTCGATTTCATTCGATTTAAGTTTTAATTCAATATCATTTTTTGAATTTAATGATTCTAACTCTACAATCTTTTTTGTTAATTTGAGTATAATCAAGTTTTCTTCAGTTTTTTGTAATATATAATTATTTTCTAATGTTGAATTGACTTTTTCGAGTTCTTCATTTTCAAGAATTATCTAAAAAAAAAACCAATTAGTATTTTTATTTTTATTTTATATTTTGTTGTACTTATGAAATGGCATTATTGAATATTAAATAATAATTCAAATGATTAAACTGGTTTTCAAGTAAAAATCTTAACTGCGTATTATAATATACTTTCAAAATTGCATTTTTAGTTACAATTTATAGGATTTTTTTTGTTTAAGTCCCAAAATCAAATTTTAGTTACATTAATTAATATAATAATGACTTTAACGGTATATAAATATTTTATAGAATTTATAACTATAATACCCAACATAAATTTTAAATATTATCAAAGAAAAGGTTTAATAATTATATATTTACCTGATCATTTAAGCTTTTCAAATCATCCAACTTTCTTTGATAACTATCAATTATTTTTCCGTTTTCTTTTTTTTCAATTTCATTTTCTTTAATATGTCTTTGTAGTTCTTCATTGCATTTAACATGTGTACTTATTTCCAATTTTAACCCTATTATTTCTTTTTCGAGATTTGAAGATACAATTTTTTCTTCACTCAAATTATTTGTTAACATTTGCACTACCTTACTGAGTTTAACTATTTCTCTCAATTGTTGTTTTAATTTAATATCAGTTTTAATTTCAAGTTTTGAATTTATGTAGTCCAACTCTTCAATTTTTTTTGTTAATTTGAGAATTATCTGATTCGAATTTGGTAGTAAATCAATTGTATTACCTACAAAATATGATATGAAGTTAATTAATAAATTAAAAGTTGAATAATCACACCTATATAAAGTACTGCAATGAAATCAAAACATTCCAAGACAGCTGGAATTCTTTTTTATATTGAAAATTTTATATTGTTAACTTTAACTTTTTTAGGTATTTCAGTAAAAATTTTATTCTATCGAACAGCAATTAACGCAAAAGTGACATCAAGGAAGTCATTGTGGTACTCAATAAATAATTCAACATGTATAATAATAGTACATATTATTTACAAGTAATATATACATATATTATTATATATAATTTTTTGTGAATATAGATACAATGTTGTTACAGACTTAACTAACTCTTACAACTTTTAATACAATAATCATTTTGTCATCATTTTTTTTTTAATAATTCATGTATTCTCCAATGCGGTACGGGAAGAGGTTGAGTTAGAAGGTTCGAATTTTCAGACAATTATTTTTTCATGGAACTTAAAAAAAAAATTTGGGGGTTCATTTCTAATTTTTGAACTACCTTAATGTACAGGAGAAACAGATTTATCTATCAACTCTAAAAAATGTTTGTTTAGTTTTAATTTTTTTCAATATTTTAAATGAACAGTTTTTAGCATTTTATTTACAAGAATTATTAATGTGCCGATAAATATTTAACTTGGTCACATCATGACTTCAGTTGTACCACTTGATAGCTGTAACACAGCTACCCTCTCTCATACCACAGGTTGCACTACGTCTTATGACGAGAACCATCGGACCTCTCTTCACTTCTTCATGGAAACTATTCCTATACTTATGTGGCCTTTATTATTATTATAATAATTTAAAATAGCCATATTTTATAATGTTAATATATCTACATATATACATAATATATCTATATATCATTGTATTGAACCGTCGTGTTATCACTTATTTTAAGCATTAACAAGCATTTTAATAAAGTTGGCGTGTAACGCGGCGGGTATATTTAGTACCAGTGTAAATTTATAATTAGAGGCTGATATTAACATATAAATGCATATACTAAAACATGATAAAATTGATTATGGTAAATTTCTATAAGCCAGTTTCACCTAATTTTTGAAAATAAAATAAATGAACACTTCTTATTATCAGCATCGAAATATCAACGAATAGGGTTGTTATGACATGTGTTGTTACAAATCTTGGGTTTCATCGAATTCTCCTTTTTATGTTATAAAACTATAAATGTAACTTCTCTATAAAAGTATAAACGTATATTGGTTGGGTTTGATGTATTTAATTTACGGCACCTTGTTGACCACTAACTTAGTGGACAGCACGTAAAGTACGTCTGACTTCCTTTTTACGGCTGCTAATGGGACCAAAATAGACTTGTACCCTTAAGACATCTCAGTGAATTTCGGCTTGAAATATTCCATTTGTATAAACGTTTGCAATGTCTGATGTCGGTCAACTGATTTTTAGACTCCGATTTCTTATACTATTTTAGTNTCAACTGATTTTTAGACTCCGATTTCTTATACTATTTTAGTTTGTTGATTGACGATATATACAACCGCCTCGTTGACTCACAAAAATATATAAAAACAACTTCTAATTACTAATTACTAGTATAATATATATTTTCTATATTAATTATACTGCCTCAAATATACAGTTATCATAATTTAATGAATCACTCATTTATTTGAAATTTTTTTTTTTTGAGAAAATAGATAATTTGTACAATTTAGACCACAATAATATATGTTTTGATATAATACAAAAAACATGATACATTTAAGATAGAAGCTACTCATTTGTGACAGTTAAATTTGATAATATAAAATTTTGGTTATTTTACCAAGTAAGTCACTCTCTCTTTAGACGTCATAATATAATGTTATTATACAGTTTATGATAAGACTAATTGATTGATTTTGTAATCTATTATGAAAACGTTTATAAAATTGAACAGTCTCCTCCTGTAACAGTCTCCATATAGAAGTCTATGTAAATTATAGTTCGATATATAAGGGTGGCGTTGGAAAGTTTTCTTAGCGCAATTGTTAGTATAAGATTTCTTTGTAGTACCCCATAATTAGAGCCCATATGTCCATATTGGTTTTATGAGTGATTTATATAATAAGGTTTTAGTTTTCAGGTTAGTTGATTATTTATTAATAAATGAATGAATTAATAACTTCGTAGCAAGCAAAGTAATAAATTTAAAAGGAGTCTTGTTTGATGAATATGGTATTCATGTTAATCGTTTGTCGAGGGTTGAACCTAAATATTTCACTGTATCAGAAGAGGGAAAAAGAGTAATATTTAAAGTGACTCTAGGATAAGTTATGTGACGTGAAGTAAAAGATGTTTGTACCGATTTGTTGTGATTAGATTTTTACTTAGAGAACGCTTAAATTGATTTCTTCAATTTTAAAATATAAAATGATGGAGAAAGAATTTTTTTTAGTTTGTATATTATGCCTTTATACACAATCAAAATCTTGACTTATGTACTAGAGTACAGAGGTGCAGTATAGTATCAGAATAAGATTTGAATATTTAAAACAGATTTTTGTATACTTTATCTGTATTAGTTAAAGCAAAAGTTTTATCAAGGTTAGTAAATGAAGGTAAAGAGGTTTCTTTATTTGAACGAAAAAAATAATATTAACCATTAATTTATTTAAGTGATATACTTATTTCAATTTAACAATCATGGCGTATATTTTATATACATTCCTTATACTTTGTAACTTATAACCCACTAAATTAATTGCAAAATAAATGCAGTACCTATTAAAAATAATTTTGTGTTACTTTTAGTTACATTTGTTTCTTGATAAATCAATTATTAATTTATTTTTAGCAATTCTGATATTGTTGTATATACTTAAAGCAATATTGTAATTAGTATTAATTTTTTTAGACACTTTTTAATTAATAAAGTATAAGGCTAAATTAAAAAAAAATTTAAATAATTAATTGGCAATTAGTTAATATGATGTAAAATTAAAATTTAATGTAGACCACCAATATTGTTAATATTAACCATTATAAATTATTAATATTCACATTTATAATAATCATTTAATCTTGTATAATTTATAGTATATGAAACATATACTAATAAATTTCCAGCTATAAATAACATTTTAGTCTAGAACATAATATGTAAATTATGTGTAAGTGATTTAAAGTTAATTAATTAGGTGATCATTTATTTTTTAATTTTTTACTGATGAAATTGAATAATTCAAAAAATTAAATCTCAAGAAATGTTAAATCTCTAAAAGTACATATTATTGAATATCATAAAATTTTTACTTTTATTTGGGCAATTGTAATTCTTAGAAAATGAATGGGAGTCATCTGAAATTTGAAAATTGAGTGTACACTATTTTGTACTATCGAACTATATTTACGATTGGATCGATGAATAAAATAAAAATTGCTAATTTTACTACCTGCTTAAAATCATTCAACATTCACAAATAATATATGTATATATCATTTTGTTAACACAATGAGTCTTCATAACTGATATGTATGTTTGGGTTGAAATTTCTAATAAATATCAAAATCCAATAACAGGAATTCATAAAGATTAATCCATTGCGGTGTTTCGAAATGGTGTGCAGCTTTCTGTTGGCTATATTCAAGTGGCCAATAACTCAATTAGATGATTCAAGTAATGATGTTACTTATTGATAATCCCTCGAGTTAGTGGTACTAAAATTTAAGTTTTACCTGACACGTAGTAGCATTAAGACTTATACGTTAATATCAACTTGGTACCCAAAAAGCTACAGATCATTTCGTTGCGAGTGTGATACAATATATTTATAGTTCTAATTATAAAAATAAAATATACGCAATTATCTATTTAAACCTAGATAAAGCATTTGACAATATTGATATCAGTTTAATATTATATAAATTAATAAAATAAAATAAGGGAGAGCGATTTAACATAATTTTTGTCATAGTTAAATAACATAATACAACATGTTAAAATAATCGAGTGTATTAATTCTCTGTGCTCTTAAAATGCTGGATACTGAGAGAATTTTCGTTGACAATTGTTTTAAGCTAAATTTCATTAAAAATTACCTGAGCTAGATTGAGAAAGGATACCATCTTTATTATTCTTCTTTTTTTTTGAAACGCAGCATTTGAATACTCTTAGACTTCGACGAAAAAACTTTTTTATCTTCAACGTATCAAAATACATTTTCAACTTTATTGTGGTTTTCAGTATTAAAGTATAAGCACAAAAATAGTTTTCTTCACGAAAATTTAACAACAAACTAATATATATATATATATTTGTGTAATAATACTGAATATCACATGGCAACTAATATTTTACTAATTATATGATTTTAAGACATTTAAATAATTTCATTAAATGAAAAGATCTTCAAACATAGAACACAAAAGACCTCTATTCATTATATACAATTTATTTATCATTACAAAATAAAATAAAATATGATTTCCTTAATTTTGATAACCATTTAAATTATTAAACTAAAATTTAATTATTAGCTACTAACATACAAAAAATGTCATTTGAAGTTGTAAAATATCACTTGATTTAAGTAATCATTAGAAATAGATAATTTGAGTTATAATATTAATCATATTAAGCTTTGTTTAAGTGCGATATTATTTTAATTTCAATTAAAAACTCCATCTGCTGGAAACGATAAAAAACTAACATTTTTATAAGCGTATCTAAAAATACTTTTACAATCAGTTAAGTACCCTTTGGAAAAATGTATGGATCAGTATTATTATTTTTTTATAAATAATTATTCTATACCCCTTTTATCTGACACTCTTTTTGTAAATCGGATCATACCCCTTTGTACAAGGGGGTTTAAAACTTTAAACATGCGTATTGTTACTAAGATATTTTCAATTTAATTTTTGAAAGTATTCCGGAAATACTGACACTTTTATATATATCTTAAATTAAAGCTTATATAATATACTTTAATTTAAAAAAAAAAATTTGACCTCTGGATTTGTCTTCATGGTAAAAATGACTACCGTATTNAAAAAATTCGGACTTTATTTTGTTTTCATGATGATAACAGTCATCAAAATTATAAAAAAAAAAAGATTTTTGTAAAAAAATTCTTTTTCATATTTTGAAGTTTATAACGCTATAACTTTTTGAAAAATGTATGGATCAATACAATTTTTTTATGAGAAATAGTAATTATATACTTTTTTAATTTGACATATTTTTTTTTAAATCGGATCAGTTTCCTTAATACAGGGGGGGTTCAAATCTTTAAAATAGAAAGTACATATAGAAAGTAGAACTTTTTCAACTTAATTTTTGAAAGTGTTCCAGAAATACTGACACTTTTATATATCTTAAATTAAAGCTTATGTAATATACTTTAAAATTAAAATAAAATTCGGACTTTATTTTGTCTTCATGGTGAAAATAGCTAGCGTATTAAAAATATGATATTTTTGTGTTAAAACTCCTGGTTTTGTATTTCATTTTATTATAAGGAGATTACACTGATTTTCATAAATATTATATCAATCTAATTGACATAGAATAAAAAGTTAAACATATTTAAATTTTTTTGTTTCTTTGAAGTCGAGAAAAATAACTTTAAAGTTTGAACTAGCTAAATTTCCAGTTTTATTAAGTGACAAATGCGACGTACGGTTCCTGAGACGGTAATACTTGGATCTTTCACGCCTGTGGCATTAAATTTTTTCTTAATTCTTTTTTTCATTAAATGAAGTGTTTCTTACCTGCTAAAAAATAAAAGAAAAAACCTAGGTACGCTGGTTTTCAGGGGTAAAGCCCAAGGCGCTAAAGTGATCACAGCGCCTCATTGATTCATTATCTTTATAAACAACGTATGATTTTGGTGCTACTAAAAATAAATTATAAACAAAAAAAAAAGTTCTTAGACACTTCTTCAAGTTAAATTACTAGCTATGTAGTTATCATTAGAAGTGACGTATGCCACTTTTAATGTTTTAAACGACATTTCAAAAAATAATTTTTTAATTCATCTAACTTAAATAAAAAGAAATTTAATAAAAATGTTTTGTTAACGGAGAAATAAAATAATTTTTAGACAATCGTATTAATACAATTTTAAATAAATAAATAACAAAAAAATGTTTATCTATGATTGTATGAAACTGTATTAAATTTCCACACTAAAATTTATTTAAATGAACTTAAAGTTAATTTAAGGTAGCATTACATAATCATATAAATTATATTAGTATTATCGTCCATCACGCCATACCATTAAAATATGAGAATATGTAATAATTCGTTCATTATTGGTTAAAGATAATCAGTTCAATTTATGGCCAGTTTTTCGGAAGTATAAAAGAATATTACCAATTTTAAATCACATATATGAGTTTAATTTCTAGTGTTAAAGTGTTTATGTTAAACAATTTAAGCAAAACTATTATAAAATGACACAATTTTTTGAAGTTGATATGTACAATTATGAAGAATTGGGGTGTCTCGATGAAATTTTCAAAAAACAAGCTGAAGCTACACCTCATGCTACAGCTGTTGTTAACATCGATGGTTCTATAGTAAGAATTATTATTATTATTAAAATAATTAGCGAATATAATGTACAACAGTTAGTATTGATAATAATTATTTAATGACTAGTAAAAATTTCACTTTGTTAATTAATTATTGAACAATATCACTTTGTATTTTGATACTAATTAAATAAAAGTTTAAAGTAATTAAACTTAGTCTAATATAATTTATTAATTGGAATCGTATTAAACAAATACAGGTGATTTTTTTAATACTACAGGTCAATTTTTACAAACAATGAGAACAATAGAAATCTATTCTCTGATTTACTGAGCATTCTACAGACAGAATAATTATTTTAACGCTAACCACTTGAATTCTTTTAAAAATAATAATTTTGTTCTGAATTTTTATTCTCCATTTAACTGTTATGAAATATTTTTTATGTTTATAAAAATATAAAATATGTGATACCCTTAGTCATATACGGGTGTCGACTTTATATTTTCATATGAAAGCATAAATAATTAACTATCTTATAAAATAGAAAATATTATAATTAAGAAAATGATTTGTTATAACAACTTTTGAACCAGTGTTTTGGATCTCATTTGTATACCTAAGCGGGATGAACAGTACACCCGGGAAATTACTAGTGATAAAAATAGCAGCATCCACTCCCTCACCTCTAACCATAATTTTAAATTGTTAATAACTTTTGTAATACTGGTTTAAAAGTTATCGATCAGTAATTTTCTTAATTAGATTATTTGCTAGTTTAATATATATGTTGCCATTAAAAAAATAAAGTTAACACCTTTTTAATATATTAAGGAGATTTCTAAAAGTAATTATTAGCTGATAAATCAATAATTATATGTATCAAAAATTTTTTTTTCAATATTGATCTATTTTGCGAGTAATGGAGTGGCCTATGATAAATCCATCACTCTATAATACACAATGTATGGAATATATAATATAATAAAAGTCCCAGCACAGTTGTGACTTGGCATAGTTGGATCAAGTATAATGATATCTGACAGTGATTAAAATCACTCTCAAAAAAACGCTTCGTTGCAAATCTATAGATAGTGTTTAATTTTTAAAAATTGGTGGATTATTCCAAAAGCTACATGATCTGCTATTTCCTTATTTATAATCCGATTAAGATTAAGTATGACGAATGAAAAAAGGATGTAAATATTATTTCTCATAAAAAAATTATGTTGATCCATACACTTTTAAATAAGTTATAGCATTATAATGTTAAAAATGTAAAAAATAAAATCGAGAATTTTCACACAAAAATAGCATTTGGTAGCCATTTTCATTGTGAAGACAATTTTTTTTCCATAATAAAGTATATTACATTAGATTTAATTTAATATATATATATATAAGTGTCATATTTCCGGAACACTTTTAAAAGTTAAGTTAAAAAAGTAAATTTTTGTGAAAAATTATCATTTTAAATACCCCCTTGTGGGCAAGAAAAGAGTCAGATTTATAAAAAAAAATATACTAAATGATAGATAAAGACATCATCATGCATCTATAAAATTTAAATTGATTTGGTCATTTTTAAAAAACTTATGACAGTTTTAAGTGAAAAAACGGTATCACAGTGAGGTCACAACACAGTGTGAGCGTTCCATAGTTGGGACTAGTATAGATGATATCTGATAGTGATTAAAATTACTATCATAAGAATCGCTTCTATGCAAATCTTTAGATTTCCTCTATTTACGGAGAACGAGGGAAATTTTTTCAATTTCTGAGGGTCATGTATTTGACTATTATTCCTTCATATGTATTTATCCATAAATCTTTTAAAAAGTCATATTAACTTAAATCTAAAAATAAAAAATCGAAAATTTCAACACACTAATAGCATGTATTTAAATTAAGACATACATATGCACATAAATATAAGTCATTGCAAATTGTTTTTTTTTTTTGAGAAGTTCAAGAATTTGCGGAACACTTTCAAAAGTTAAGTTGAAAAAATTAATTTATTGTGAAAGAGTTGTCATCATAATTATTCCCTGTGGGCAGGTAAAGGGTCAGATTTATAAAAAAAATATACCAAATGATAGGTAAATACCTCATGCATCTATAAAAAAAAATGATGTTGATTTGGTTATTTTTAAAAAATGTATGGAAGTTTTAAGTAAAAAAATTGAAAAAACTTCGAAAATTAGCAGTTTTAAAATTTGTAATTTTTTTGTAGGTTTTCCCCATTTACGGGGAACAAGATAAACTTTTTCAATTTTTGAGGGTAATTTCTTCGATTAGATACGATTTATGATCTTTTGACGTATCGTTGAGAGAAATCAGTTCAGTGATAGCTGGAAAATAGTTGTAACAGACACAAAAAAATAAAAAAAAAAAAAAATCTTAGTAAAATACCTTCTCAGCCTAGCATCGAAGCTAGTATAGTCGACATTATTATTATCTAGGATTTTTTTGCTGAAAGAAAAATAAGTAAAAATTGGCCTATTTATGCATGTAATTATAAGTTAAAAGACTCGTAAAGTACTCTTTTATACGTTCGATTAGAAAATGTTAATAATGTCTTCATGATTTTTTTCACTAAAAAGTAATAAGTCTTTTAATTAAGTTTTGAAAACTTCTAACTAACTAGGTATTTTTGCTATACTTGTTGTATCTTGATTAAATAAATTGATTAATTTAATGTCTTAAATTCACTGGTGTATGATGACAAATATTTTATTATTATAGACAACATTCAAAGAATTAGATGAAATGACTGATATACTGGCCATAAAGTTAAGGAATATGGGCGTTAGTTCTAAAACTGTAATTGGTATAATGATGGAAAGATGTTTAGAGTATACCATAAGTTATATTGCAACTCACAAAGCTGGTATAATAAATTATTTTATTAACCTTTTTAAAAATTAAATATAAATTTTATTTATACAAATTTTAAGTACATAAAAAAAATATACATTTATAGGAAGTGCTTTTGTGGTACTTGAAATATCTTATCCAGAGTCTCTTCTAATGTCAGTGTTACACGATTCTATGCCCAAATTAATTCTTACCAAAAAAACATTTCAACATCGATTAAAAGATCAAGAGTTAATTCTATTAGACAGTGGTTGGTTTAATGATATTAAAAGTATTAGTGCTATACCACAGCAAATAGAAAAAAAGCAATTGGACGATCTAGCATACGTTGTATATTCTTCTGGTACTACTGGAGAACCAAAAGGTCTATATTTTATATTTACTTAATACGTAAATGGGTTTGTTTGGTTTGGATCAATTTTTAATTGAATCAACGACTTTATTTTTTTATAATTATAATCAATATTGTACATAAAATTGATGATATAGTTAATGATAATTTGTAGTATGGATGCAACTAGAGAAAGTAGAGATGTGAAGCCACTCTCAAATGTAGAAAATTATTTACGAAATAAAAAAAAAATTTTTAGGATGGGGAAATTAATTTATTTATCACAAAAATTTAGATTACGCCTATGGTACTAACGCCAGTTAAAATATATAAATTATCCTCAATAATTTTATAAGTGATAGTTAGTCACGATGCTAACAGAAATTTACGGTTATTGACTGTTGGTTAAGTCTCTAGCAGTTATTTTAACTATTAGATTTAACACACTAACTTAACGTTCTTACACTTAACGTAATTCTAATAGATAATTTAAATTAGTAAATGAAACTATTTTGGGTATAATCACTACAATTTTTATATTTTTCTACAATAATTTTATGAATATCTTATATAGGCGTATTTTTATATTAATAGGTGTTTTGTGTCCTCACCGAGGCGCTGTGTACTCATTCACATGGAGACATAAAGCATACCCGTATGATAACGATGACAGAGAAGCATGTAATGTATTTTTTATTTGGGAGATGCTAAGACCACTTCTTAAAGGTATAAATTCATATATATTATTATAAATTAATTTTTAATATAAAATTTCCGGTTTTGAGTAAAATGGCACGACCTATTTACGTCAAATCCAATACAAACTGTTTGGTTGTGTTAAAAATGATGAGAGTCTGTACATGTATTTAATTAAATTAAAGTTTATAAATCTATACTACATTTTGTTGTAAATTTATGAGGTATTTCTAAAACGTTATAAAAAAATCAAACAATTCACGAGCATTTAACCGAATCAAAAATCCCTAACGCCGAAATGTTGCATAACTCTAGACGTATTTTTAGATTATGTATTTTTGACATCCATTTTTTGCTATGTACAATACATAATACACATTGATGCAATTTCAATAAAATATTTGTTGGGGCTTACTACATCGAAATTCTCCCTTTCTAAAATTAATTTATATACAAATACTCTATATATATTGTATAATTATATATGTAGTTTTTCTGAAATTTTTGGAGGGGCTAATTTCAAAATTAGAAGAACAAGCCCCTTCAAGCCCTCCAATTTGCGCTTATAATAAAACAATTTCATAATAGTTATTGGTAATATTAACTATAGCATGTAAACTAAAGTTTTTGTTAACGATCTTATTAGTAATAAACATTGCATACATTTTTACTATTGCAGGGTTACCAATGTATATTATTCCTGATGATGTAATTTATGATCCACCTAGATTGCTAAAATTTTTTGAAAAAAACAGAATTACTAGAGTTCTTTTCACTCCATCTCTTCTCCAAGCCATTTTAGATTTTAAAGGATTAGATGTAGCTCGAGGCTTGAAAACACTTAAGTGAATCATTTACTCTATGCTTTTTCAAATTATTACAATTCTTCTATTAAGTTTTTAACAAGAAGTTATTAAAAAATTATTTTTCAGACAAATTTGGTTATGCGGGGAAGTATTGACTATGTCATTGAGAGATAGACTGGAAAAAAATGCACCTTGGATAAAAATATTGAATTTCTACAGCGTATCGGAATGTCATGATGTTACTTGTGCTGGTATATAAATTTTACTCAAAAATAAATAATCAGTTCATTGAAGAAATTTTTTATTTTATATTTAGATGTTTCAAAAAAAATTGGTATTGAAAACAGTACTATTGCTCCAGTGGGTCCACCTATGTTAGGAGTTCACGTTTTAGTCATGGATAGAGAATATAAAATAAAAAATATCGGCGAAGCTGGAGAGGTATTTTGATATAATTGATTAAATTCAGCGCTCAAATTAAAGCGGAACGCAGGATCAAAGTTCCTAAACTATAAAGAAACTAATTTTTTTATTTATGTAACTATACTGCACATCAATGTTCTCTTTTTATATTGTAAGAGAGGTTTTTAATAAAAGTATTTTTAATTTGAGTATTGATTACATTACTACTGTCCATTATGTTTTTAAATTAGTTTATAATATTATTTTAACATTTTTGTAAAGCTGTATGTTGGAGGTCCAAACCTAGCTATAGGGTATTTGAATCGACCAGAATTAAACTCTCAAAGATTTATTAAACGACCAACTTCAGTTCCAATAGAGATTGGAGAACGGCTGTATAAAACTGGTGACTGGGGTTATTTACGATCTGATGGATGTTTAGAAATATGCGGAAGATGTGACTCTATGGTAAAAATTAGAGGATATAGTATTGAATTACAGGTTAAATTTTTATTTATTAAAAATTATTACCAAAAATAATTATATGAACTATATAGTTAAATATTTTATAGGCAATTGAAAATACTATTTTAAATGAACCTGAAGTAAGTGCTGTTTGTGTTTTGTCTGTTGGAGAGGAAGGTGCTGATAAATATTTAGTTTGCTATATTGCTTTGAATGATCATTTATCATTAACGGCAACAGATTTAAAGAACAGATTAAAATTAAAATTACCTTTTTATATGATTCCACCTTTCTACTTTTTCCTTGATAAGTGAGTAAAAAAAATTAAATACTTTAGAAGTAATACTATAGAAAGAAGATTAAGTAACATCTGAAATAAAAACAAAATGATATTTTTCGGCAAAATATTTAAAGCAAAAATAAATCATTAAATATTTTTAAGACTTTTTTTATAGTAAAACAATGCAATAGACTCCAATAATTTTAAAAGTTTTAATATTATTAAATTTTTAATTATGATGGTGTTCAGTTGAATACCATTTTTACCAGATTCGTGTATATCGGTATATAGATCAACGAATTTAAGTATTTAAATTAGCAATTAAATTGAGCAAGGCTAAATTCCATTTTTGTTGCGTTTTAGCTTCGATGCGAAGCTGAGAAGGTATTGGTTTTACTATGATGTGTTTTTTTTTTTTT